GCGTCGCTGAAACCCAGCCAAGCCATTCCCTCACTTCGCTCCTGCTCTTTCACAAAGTCACCCAGGCGCCTCCGCAGCCACCAGCGGAACGGGGACCATGGGAAAGGTGCCTGGGACACTGAGGGGTTCACCCACCCCCAAACTACAGCCCACGTCTCCCAGGGAAGGGAGAGAGAGAGAGAGACAACCTTTCTTTGCTGCTGGGTTTTACCAGCCAATATTGGCTAATTAAGCTGCTTAATTAGCATTAAAAGCATATTTAGCAAGGGACTAGAGGAAGCATTTATTTGATTAGTTCGTAGTTTTGGAGTTTTTGTTGTTCTTTTTACCCGAGATTACATGGTTCAGGAAGGACGGTGTAATGGTGAATGACTTCAAGACAGATGGAGGCAGTGCTGTATCCCACGTAGGTGGTTCCCAGCAAAGAAAGAAGGAACTGCAAGTTTTACTTTAAACACATGCTTATTGGTAAAGCCTCTGCTTACTCAACTTATGAGTTTTTTTGCAGAAGAAATGTTTCTGAATTGGAGAAGCAGAAATCCGTCCAGCCTGGTACTGAATTTTTTAATGAAGTGAGCATGTAAGAAACCAAAAAATGTTTCTAAAGCTGCTTGAAGTTACTAACAGCAACCGCACACTCAGAGACAAACTGAAGGATTGCCTGCAGCATGCAAGACTGCGCAGACCAGGATTACTATTGTTTCACTGCTGGCCCTGTAATTTAAAACTTCAGAGAATGCTCAGAAATACAAAATCTTTCCCAGACCTCTAAGACTTATTTAGTGCTAGATGTAATTAAAAAATCTTAAGTATGTTTACAGTTTGACACATCACATTTTTGGCTTCTAAGTTCCCAAAATTAAATCCTGTATTGGAAGAATATTTGGAGTTTTTTACTGGAGACGGTACAAAATGCAACAAACTTACTTTTTAAAATAAATTCTGAAACTATTTTAATACTTTTAAAATTGTATTTAATTACAAAGTCCCGTATTAATATTCTGCAGTTACTAAAAGATATGAAAAAAAATTTTGAATACTTTTAGTCAAAGGAAGCTTGAAAAGCAACCGCAATGAAATTTTTGCAACAAATAGAGTATTTCTATGGTACTAGCCAAAATATATAGCCAAAAGAGATTCCATCTACATCTTTTGATTCAATGCATTTTGAGTAAATAGATACCTATTTCAGCTCAGTAGCCTCAAATTTGCCTCATGTATTTTGTATTTCTCTAGCATTTTATTTTTATTATTCTGGTTTTAGCACCTAAATGTTTTCTTTTAAATAAATCCTTCTCACTTAGCTAGCTTGCAGATGAATTTTAGTTGTGTGTTTTTTTTTTTTTTTCTAAAGCAATTACTATTTTGCACATTGGCCTGATAAGAACAGTATGTCACTTTGTGGTAAAACATATACAAGTTTACACTTGAGGTTGACTGCTGGATTTCATGTCTAGTGCATAATTTTAATTCCTTTTTTTTTTTTTGCAGGTACAATTTGGATCCTCACATTTTCCAGGAGGAGGAATTGAGCGCACAGTGATAAAGCGCACACATCTTTTGCACTTTGTCCATAAAACTGAGGGGTCTGCAGCTCAGCCTGGTTCCAGCTCAAGCCCCTCAGCATCCCACACCCTGGGCAGCTGCCCTGGAGCTGTGGGAGCCCCACACAAAGCTCCCAGCGAGCACAACTGCTCTCAGCTTGCAGGTGTTAATAGACAGGTGTCTCCAAAAAAATCAGGCTGGGAGTTCAGAGCAGAGCAGCTGATGTAATCTGAAGTGAGGCTGAAGCAGCCGAGGCCTCTCCAGGCATTCATGTCATTCTCAGTTGGGTGATTATTTCATAATATACAACAGCCGAAGGGTCCAGCTGGCAGCCTCTCTCCAGGCTGCTGCAGACTCCTTGCCACCCGCTGTGACCTCCCTGGAAACACTCAACAGCTGCCAGGACAGAGGCTGAAGCCCCAAATCAAACATTTTCTCAGCCCAGCGCTCAGGCTGGTGTGCTCCTGTCTCGGCAGGACCTTTATGAGGCATTCTCTGTCCCGTCCCCACGCTGGAAAAGCTGGACTGCCTCAAAACACTGATAGCGAGGAGGGACATCTCCGCTTGCCCTGCAAGGCACTCTGCCCCTGTAAAGGCATAACTGAAGAGCTGAGAAATCCTTACTGACAGTCCACTGGCAGCATAAATCTCATTTATCTGACTTTCCTTGTTTCCATCAAAAGCTGAACTGTCGGACCCAACAACCAGCTGCTGATTTACATTGCATGTGCTGCAGATGGCTCAGCTGTGGCGCACAGCAAAAATGCAGCTGCTGAGTATTTTTTTGTTTTTCTCCTAGCCTTTCCAATGCTAGGAGGCAACACTTGGCTATCTTTGGACAGCCCTGAAGTCAGAATTGGCCCTGCTACTGTCAATATTCAGGCTCTTCGCCAATGAATGGGACACAGCACATGCTGGGAAATAGCAGCAACCAGGGAGCAGTGCAGCTGCCATGCAGGCGCAGCGGGACAAGAAACCCCCCCCAGGTTTCTCAGCTGGTGCAGTGCTATGTGATGAAAAGGTGCTAAGGGAGTGCCACGGTCCTGGGAAATCCTCCTAAGTCTTGAGTCATGGTTACACGTGTGCAATAAAAAGCCTTCATCAAATGTTAGCTGAGTAAGTCTTGCGGCTCTCATTGAAAAGCAGGGCTGGTAGCATGCTCAAGTCCTCATCTAATCCATCTTTCTATCCCAAAGCATGACGAACACACTATAAACACTTAAGCAAAGCAATTCTGATCTGCTCTTAAAGCCTCCAATGATTAAGACCCCTTAATTGTCAGGCCATGACCTCCAGTGCCTTACACCAGCTTTCTTGTTAAATCATTCTTCAATGTCTACCCAGCTCTGTTCTGACACCTTTCAAGACTATGACTTTTTTCCCCTTCCACAACAGGAAAGAACAGATTGCACTCTTGCTCTTTCCAGATTCAAAGACTACTCCCTTGCCTCCTTTCAGTGTTGTTTGTTTTTTGTAAGCAGTAGCTATACCTGTAGTCATCCCTGCACTACTATGCCTGCTCTAGATTTCACATCAGTTACCTTTGAGGTCATTTCCCCTCAGCCAGTTTAGCCCACTTGTACAAAAGACTGCTTGTCCACTTGCTTTTGCCATCTTGATTTCTAGCCCAAAAGGAACTGAAGATAAATAGCCATGAAACTAAGGCAACTAACCCATTCCTAATATCTTGATTTAAAAACCCGCAACTAAACAGCAACTCCCTCCAGCATATGGAAAACGAGGCTGCAGATTCCCACGAGCAGTGGCTCTCTGAACATACTTCAATTCTTCCTCATCACAGTGAAAGAAACAAGGTGAAGGTCACGAGGTGAGGAGGCTGCGGCACTTTACTGACACCAGTGTCACTGAGCTTGCAGCTTCTTGCAAATCACAGTGACACCCAAAGCATAATCAGATACAGATCTCATGATCCCATTGCTTCAAGGGAGCAACAGAAAGTATCTCTCTTCCCACAGATCAGTGAAATCAATTTTTGCAGAAGTAACAGCTCCTTGGGACAGGCACACCATGCTAAATCATTACCAAAATCTCTTGCAACTCTAATTGCAAACAGATGTAGCTACATATTGTCACTGAGAGCACCACCGCCGTTTGTCTGGACATACAAACAGGTCCTAGTCCATGCTCGATGTCCTTAGGTGCTGCCACTAGTTCTAGATTTTGATTTTTCCCCATCCACAGATTTTCAGGTTTTTGGCTTTAGTACAAAACAACTTTTAAAAGCTCGGGTGTTTAAGGCTGCTGTGGTGGTGGCATGAAAGTCAGAGGAGGGCTCTGGGGACCTATTTGGAAGCTGACATTTGAAGTAGAATTGGAAAGGACAATCTAGCTTCAAAATGATCACATCCCACAGTGGTTCTGCAAAAATATTCATGTATTTTCAGACCTAGAAAGGTCTTACTATAAAGCCCTTTGTTTTTAAAGCTATCACCTTCACTACCCATAAAGCTATTTACTTTCATTTGCTTAGCTCTGTAACGTAAGGAAAAGCAACAGACAAAAACTACAGAACTGTAGGAGGCTGATGCTGCTGCATCTCATCTCAGCTCTCACCTCTGTGAGCAGGCCTGTGAAACCAATACTATGACCCACATGAAGCAAGCTCAACCTGTTTCCCTGAAGGTAGACAGCCATCACACACACAAGAAAATCCCCTTTGTGGGCTGTCTCAGATGCTACAGGGCTTTAGAAGGCAATGGGAACTGCTATTCTGAGCCCTCGATCACAATTTCCATACCATTCACTCCAATTAACATATCAAATCCCTGCTGGAGATATTAAGGAGAAATTTAACTGCTCGCTTCTGTTTAAAGAAAATGCTCAAACTAAGAAGCACTCCAGGCATGAGTCTAGAACTCAACTTCACAAACTTGGTAAACATCAGACATGCTATGAGTGGCAAAAAAACGTTATGTGTCCCCAACCCTGAAATGATACGAGAAAACAAAACGGGAGCAAAAGCCAATGATCTAGTAGATGTAAAGAGAGTCTGTCATCACTGTACTTGTACCACCAAAGAAAGGACTCCAGGAAAAAAAGCACAATCCAGAGCCTGGACAGAGAAAAAGAAGAAAACCAGTTTCCCTGATCAGTTCAATTCTAAGTGGTAATGGTCAACCCCAACCTGATGAGGACATCCTCTGGTGAAGTGCCATCTGGAGGCCAGTTACAGGTGTGTATCACATGTGAAAAAAGAACTGATAAAGAAAACAGTAAGTTTGGGGGTTATTTTATGAAAAATAGGTTATGTTTACAAATGCAAGGCTACCTGAACCCCTAAAGGTAGGCATGCTTGCTGGAAGGTCACAAGTGTGCCATCCAACAGCAAGAAAAGTAAGGCAGAAAGCTGCAGAAGTACAGTAAGAATTCCAAAACGTTCTACTAGTGCAAATAAATAGACAATGGAAGGGAAATCTTCTTCCACACAGGCCATTTCAGGTGAACTGGACTTTGCTGGGCTCTGGCGTCTCAAGAGTCAGCACCTCAATCTGCTTTGAGAACTCTGCCTCCAAGACATTCTAGCGGGAGAGAAAAACCAAGAGGAATCAGTGACCATAAAACAGTTTTCTTACATTCTTGTCAGACAAACATATCTACAATGATCAAACTGTGGGATATTATTAGCAGTGATTAACCCAAGTATTGAACTGCAAGGTCTCACGACTGCAAACCACAGGACTCTTCGTAGAGAACTACAGAAAAATCTCCAAATGAAGGGCTAATCAAGCTCGGTTGCCTTTATACTGTGCCCCAACATGATATCAGATGCCTTCACACTAAACAGATACTCTCCAGAGACCAGTATTCTGACGTGATAAAAGCCTCCGGCTGGTAAAGTGAGCTTGTATTTCTGAATCAAAAACATGTGGCTTATGAACCTGAGCAGTCCTGTCTGAAAATGTACAAAATACTCTCAAATAGCTGTGATTTTTGATCACAGCTTTAAGGCTTATCACTGAGTACCTTGTGCTTTATCTATGAGTAAGCAGACAATAGCCCAAAAGAAATAAAGACAAGTTTTATGCTCAAACATGGTCCAGCTCAGGAAAGTTATGTATGAACTTCCCAAACAGCTTTATATGAATGTTTCCGAACAACCATACCTGCAAATTACAGAAGCATGGATGAAATGGGCATTATCTCTTACAGGGGAAGGTCCCCACTGCAGTCTACGAGGCAGCTGTTAAATAAAATATGGTCCCTAGAGCCCTCAGAGTTCAGGAGCAGCAAGGAAGGTTGTGAGACCAATAGGCTGCAACACAGCTGAGTGAATAAACACTCTGACAGGTGAAGCAGACAAAATCCAGAGGGATATAGATACCTAATCCCCACTGATACCATTATGCCCAACTGCCTTTGTAGCTTAGATATCATTCCTCCACCAGTTCCTCCTACCAATACGCACGGCTTCTGCCTTACCAGAGCAAATTTGCCTCAAGATCATTAAGACTACAATCTGAGGCACATAAATCCACAACCAATTAATATATATAGCTTGTTTTGGAATGACAGCACTGAGTTAAATCTCTGTGAAAGATTAAAAAAAACACCTCTTACCAGTTCTCGTTTTACTTCTTCAATCTTCACTTGTGCAAGCGAAAGATTCTGATGAGAGAAAATGGCATGAAAAATCAGTATTTCAGCTGGAAACAGACAGTCCCTACATCTTTGCAAGAGTCTAATGATGTAGCACAGGGGAATTCAGAACAATGAAATCAGTTTTGTGTACACCCTTCACATGCAAAAGGTACTGAAATCAAAAGCCTACTATCAGTTTGGTTTGGGCAATCATGTATTTTTCAAAAGTCTGGTATGGCCTAAAGTCTAAAAAAACCCCCCATTTTTAGCAATTTTCCATATCTACCAATGGAGGAACTAGACTTTAAACATATTTGCACATGAATTTTCCAAAGCACAATAAGCTTGCAAGGATAAACCTTCCTCCCTCCTTCTGCCTGCACCAGAAGCGAGGTATCAGGGTTCTCCCTGTCTCCACTGACAGCAAGATGGGAGGGAGAGGGGGAATTTCAGAACCTAATCCAATTTGAACATCCTGTTTTGCTTGAGGAAAAGAGACAGCTGCCTCTTGGAGTAAGAGGGATTTAAGAGAAGCAGTCCCACCCTTCATCCTTTTCATCTAGGAGCAAGACAGCAGTAGTTGTATGAGGGAGATGTGTTGAGAAGCAGGAACTCGATGGAGGGCCTAAGGAGGTGAAGAGAGAAGTGCGGCCCAGTCGACAGGTCCCTAGTTCATAATACAAGAGATGTCATTAATCGCAGAGTTCCTGTGTGATTTTTGGACCAGTCTCTGATTCTCTGGATCTCTATGCCCCATTTGTAAGAACTGGAATAAATCTCTTCCACCTCTTACACAGAAAGGTCTGAGGTTAGCTCCATTAAAGGCTGTGGGCTGCTCAGATGAGGAGATAACAGAGGCCATATCACCTAACTCAAATACAAAACTGTAAACTAGACAGTTACAATTGTATTTAATAAAACCAAAATCTATTCAACTAGTCGCACTCCAGTTTTTGCTACTTCTTCCCTGAATGACAAAGAGAAAAGTCTTTAACACTTATCTATAAAAGCAATGGCAATCTTCCAAAGGAGATTGGAAATACTTTGGTTTAGTAGTCCCAAATATCACAGGTGGTGATGTATAGCTGTCAGGCAAAGCCAAGGCCTTCTGTTTCATGAACTAAAGCCTTGCTTACCCAGGATTTCTTTAAGCTACTATAAAGTTGTTCACAAAATTACCCTTAACCAAAGCAGTCTTTTGTAACAAGCGTTCTCATTTGAAAAGGGTAAAATCCTTTTTATAAAAAGATGCTTCCCACAGCAGTCTGATAGTAACTCCTAGCACAGGGACCAATAGCGACAATAGTCAAAATAGGAAATGAACAAAAAATACGCAGACAGGGGCTTTCAAAACTGCAATTTAGTAATCTAAATGAAAAATGTGCATTTTCAGAGAGCTGAGTACCCAGCACCCTCGAAAGAAATCAAAGAAAATGATGAAGCAGCCAGTACTCACACAAGCTAGAGTACTTGTTTAGGGGACAATGCCTACATGTGGCTCTTTCTTCATAATTGCTAAAATCTTGCTCAGAGCTCCAACCTCTGCCCAATGTGCTGTGTCCACCCTATTGACAGCCTGATGACATGTATAACTAATATACTGGTAAATCTCAAAAAATTTGTTATATGAAGGAATTATATTTTCTTCTACATTTCTTTGTCTAATTTCTGGCTATTTCACCTTGATACTGAGCTCACCCAGCAAACCTGTGCATTTTGTTAGAACAAAGTTTGCCTGGTAAACATAGTTAACTTCTTGGCTTTGATAAGTAGATAGCTTTCCGTTTACTTGAAGTCTGCGGTTCACAGCATTAATAGACCTGTAGGACATATACCTGTCCACTGAAATCATCACAACAATATCCTTTCCATTCTGAAGTCCATTAAAATTAATCTGATGGCAAATACAATGGAACAGTGGAAAAAATAATTACAGGGGGTAAATCTAGGTAGAACTCCAGATTCTTCTTCAATTGCACAATTTCTTCCTGCAGTCCAGCCAGTTTCTGTGAAGAGAGGAAGGCAGATTATATTCTATAGTCTTACTTGTAGAAGTGATGTAAATCAGTGAAATAGATCCACAATTATCTATAGCGTTTCAGAATTCACAGATGTTGGCAAGAACTTCCACAGTCCTTCTTAAAATCCACGGAAAACTAAAGATCTGCTGTTCTGTTTGCTGTCAGTCAAACTCAGTTCAAATTTTACCCAGAGGTATTAATTAATTTTTCCTCATTCTAAAGACACCTTCAGGTTTCTTTTCTTACAGTATAACCACCTGACCTCACCTCCCTGAAAGAACAGGGGATTAACAATGAGAATCCACCAGACAGAGGACTTGCACTGTCAACCTCGTTGCAGGTCAGAGAGAGAACTGAGCCCCAAGGAAGGGGAAACATTCTCATGCCTATGGCTTCTGTGTGAAAACAATTTTACACGTGCAGCAGCAAGACGACTCCCGTTACACTTGCACTGCTTTGCTTATTGTGTTAACAAGGGGAAAGAATTTCTCTTTGGGGCTGAAAATTAAGCATCTTCCACAGTCCTCAACTCTTTTCAAACAATCAACGTAGAATTTAAAAAAAAAAAGCACTCTGAAGATAAAAGTAACTTCTGCTATCCAATTCACTGAGCTCTTGGCAAAGCAGATATAGAAATGTCAAGGAATCAAACCTGCCCTTACGCTCAGGTTTTAGAAGATGACAAGTCTAGAAAATTGCCTATGACCTTTTGTATGCAAAATTCCAACAGAAATTGTTTTTGGTTAGTACTCTTCTGAAACACTGTGCAATGTAAACATTGCCACCCAGTGTTGGTTCATGAGAACGGCAACATAAAAAAAAAAAAGAATCAGGAAACCTGTTTTCATTGTTCAACTTAAATAACATGCAAGAAAAGCTAGCAAAAAAATGGGAAGAAAGACTAAGTTCTCATTACAGTAATAGCAAATAGTATTAAAATGTGGTAAGTGCAGAAAAAACACCACAAATGTTAGATGTGTACAAATGCTTCAGCACAAAGCTGGAGAATCTATAGTTAGTAACTCAAGAAATGTGTTTCTTCCTTTAACAAATAACCCCACTGGGCTTACAATACAGCTGAAAAATGTTATATTTAAAGACACCAGAAAAAAAGCACACAGCAGTTCAGAATTTGGGTTTCATTTGATCTTCTCCCCTTGCTCTGAGGTGTGTGACAGCAGGTTTATGTCACACAAACTAGAAAGAATCACCTATCAAGTAATTACAATACACAGGAAGCCATGTAACAGGACACAGTCCACAGAATATCCACTCCGTTTATAACGCAGATCACAAAGAGAGGAGGCAGATGACCGGCTGCCAGTTTTCTTCCAGTAGCAGGGAATTTATTCCATGGAAATTCTCCAGTAGGCTATATTCCCAATTACAGACAGAGGCAGAAAGAGAAGAACGGGAAAAACAAAAGGCAACAAAAATAAAGATTCCAGTTGTTCCTTTCAATCAGTCCACAAGGAAATCTTCTTCTCAAGTCCAAAACAAGCCTACACATAACCCTGAAGAAAAGGTACCACTTCAGCACCCATATGTGCTTCTCAATTTCTAGGACAGATAAACCCATCCAACAATCCCCCAGTTCAGAGGTACCCACCTACGGGATTTTAATTTGTGCTGCTTTTTACTATTAATATTTGTTCAGGTAACCAAATAGCAAATTACATTTCCTGAAACCACCCAACAAATAAGCCTGGTCTGTACCACTGTAGAAACATCCATCTTGTACCAAAAGACCTACCTCAGACAGGCTCACGAGTGACTCATGTGTCAGCAATTCGTCCAACCCCATGGCAGCAAGCTGTTCCTATGGACAGGAAAGAGTTCGTTCATAACGGACCGCAAAAATATAACAGGGAGGAGAAAGATTTTACCATTTCCTTGGGTTTTGGACTAAACAGGCAAACAAGAAGGCAGTTTATCAACAACAGAAACGTGTGCTATTTGAACCACAGCTATAGCTGGTGTACGAAATCAGTTGCTACTAAAATTTATATCAAGAAAAACTAGTCTTTCCAGGAGACTACTGGGAGAAGAGCACATGGCAAAGCTGGGAAGAGGCTTCTCAATAAAATGTCATCAACTCTAACGCAATGTTTCCCATCTTATATTTGTCAAGGTATCAGACAGCATCCAAGCATTAAATAAAGCATTGACATGTACTTCATTGTGTAGGAAAGGTGAAGAAGACGATAAAACTTCTGCCTGCTGTGCTTAATCATTCATTAGTTTCAAAAAATGGCTATATTCAGAATTTTGACAAACAATTTACCTCAGTGAATCGGCTGCTCTACTGGTACCTGCCTGTATACTCTTATATGACAGTACCTCACAATAAGCACAAGGTAGTCCAAGCTAATACAGTTTCAGTGAAAGCAGAGAAAGTGCCCTTGCATTTATCATAGGATGTCCTGGGGAAAGATCATGAATATAGCAGGAACAACTCAAGTGTAGTAACACGTTGTCCCGTTAGCCCAAAAGTCCTCAGCCCTGGAGTTTAGCAAGCTCCTGGGATGTCTCTGTAGCTACAACTTTGGGCCTGACGAACCATGCCTCAGCCATCCCGTCACAATGTCTTGTTAGAAAATTCCTTCCATCTACCTCAGCAACATTGATCCTGATTTTTAAATCCTCAGATTTATCTTTCAGGTACTGCAAGTTCTGGGATCGGCTGTCAGCTTTGGTCTTTTCTATTTCCAGATGTTCCTCTGTTTTTTTAAGATCCCTTAAAAAAATAGAAAAAGAAACAAACTTTTACATTCAAAGAGATACCAGTAAACAAATACTGCTTAATTATCTTAATTATGTAACACAACCAACAGAAGAAAGGAGAGAATCAAGAAAAACTTGCATTTCCCTGTGATATTTCCCAGTGGAGACATCCACAGCTGTTACATCCAGAGTCTCAAAGGCCAGGGGGAAAAAAAAAAAGGCCAAGGGGGAAGCCATCTGCATAAAAGCAAAGAGTAATCGTCTTCTGCATAATTCCTTAATTCAGTTAGAGGCCTGTTACACAAGCTAAACTTACAATGACAGAGAGGGGCCATGGCAAACCTGCACAAAGCACACAGGTCTGGTTTCTTTGCTACAAGCAGCTACAATTACTACTTTAAAAGACAAAAAACAGAAAAAAATTAACATGAAGGAGGCTGTGGAGATCATCTGGGCTAACCCCCACTCAAGGCAGGGGTTGATCCTGCTATGCTTGGCAAAGCGCTTGAGATTACATCCTCTCGAGAATGGACCTGCTACCGATTTTTTTTTTTTTTTTTCAGGCCTCCCACACACGGGCTAAAAGAAATTCTTACCTGGGAACGGTTTTTGTTTTGCCTGGCTCCTTCACTCTCACTACAGAGCCCATGCTAAATATGGTAAGAAAATCAGGTTTGCCTTCAGTCTCAGATGAAGGTAACTGGTAGAAGATGCAAGCCCCTACCTGAAAACCGCTTGTAGACCATTTTTGGTTTAAAATAATGGGTTTGATGGTACCCCAAATCTCTTCTGATTACTAAATGTGTCCACAGCACATGGCTTTTGACAGATATTTCCAAATACTGTGAATTAGAGATGTGTCAAAAACCTGAAAATTCAGTTATCCTTGTTAGTTATCACAATCAATGCTCCACATCGCAGAGATCAACAGTATTGCTTGCATCTTTCCCTTTTCTCATCCATTACTCACTCCTCTGCCTGCTTTTCCAGCGTCAGCATTGTAGTTAGTTTCTTTCTGCTGTTGCTCAATGCCAGTTCCATTTCTCTGTTTTTTGATTCTGTCGTGTACAGCTCTGAAGTCATATCATCGATGGCACAGAAGAAGCTGGTGAAAAGAGTGGGAATTCAGTGGGAATGCTTGGAGACACCTCTTCTGAAATTCAGAATTATTGTTATTATTTTCTCCACACTCTCCACAAATCACTTTTTTTTGTTCTCATATTATGATACATCAGATAACTGCTAGCTATTTCAGAGAAAAAAAAGTAAAGTCAGTCACTAAGGGTATTTGGTTCCCTTAATTAACGAAGATTTAATCTGGAAGGGGAAACGGCCCAGCAATCTCAGTAGGGGGAAACAAACAAGATCTGGCACTCTAGTGAATATAACTACTGGGTTTGACAGGATCAGATGCTCTGCTCTTGTCAAATTGCCTTTGAGAGAAACTGTATTCAGTCCCTGAAAATGCATGTCCCCCAGACATGCTCAGCAGTATTTCAGTCTCTTCCCAAATGGTTCAAAGCTTCTTGCCCCTCCAGCTCAGGAGAAGAGCTGTAAGAGCCAAGCTCCTGAACATCATACAAAAATTGGATTCCAAGGCAGATTTTGGCCCTTCCTTACTGCCAATGCTCAGCACAAACCTGCTGTGTTACAGATCTAACCCAGGCTAGGGAGAGGGGCGCAGGAAGACCAGGCTAACAGCTGCTGTTTCTCTGCGGGTAAGGAAATCTCCTTACATTAACTGAGGGCAGATAAGAGAGGGAAGAATGAGGAGCTGAGACTGAAAGACAAGTTACAGTTCCCCAGTCCTTGCCTACACAGGGTGAATGCTGCTCTAGCTTGTGCTACCCAGCACAATAGTCTGAGTGGCAGCATTCTGCACCACTGTCTATAAAAGTATGGGGAAAAAAAAACAGAAAAAAAAAAAAAGAAAGAGGGATTTAACTCTGGCTGATGCACTTCTTGGATTTCAGAGACTTCCTTTGCTGGGATCATCAAGGGTTCAAGCTTTGTGCTGAGTTCTTGTATCCTCCAAAGCTGCCCAAGGGTGCAAAATAAGCTGGACAAGTAAGATTCCTGGTGTGAAAGTCAAGTTTGAAACTGCTGAATTGAAAAAACAGAGGGAAACTGCACAGATCCTCACCCCTGATGCCCAGTGGCAAGAATTACCTGGTAAGAGAAGTGTCGTTTGTTTCAAGTGTCATTGCGCTGTTTACCAGGGCGTTGAGGTAGCTGGTGCCCTCACTAGACAGACTAGATAGGGAAAGCTCCAGGATTTCTGTGAGAAGGCCCTGTAGATAGTTAGCTGGAAAACAAATACAACCTAAAATAGTAATTTGTTTATATTACTGTTCTTTTAAGGGACTCTCCAAAGCTAGAACCCAATCCTACTCCAGAAACTCTGGCTACCTCTCCCCTGTTAGGGAAGGAGACATCTTAAAAGAAGACTTAAACACGCCAAATTACTGCCACATTCCCGCTCATCAACGAAATTCAGTGTGTTGAGGAAGAGAGCGCTGCTCCACTCCTTCCCTGACCAGTCTGTCTGAACTCATACAAACAAGAATTCACCCTTGTGCTATGGCGATGAGCACACACAAGTCTTCTCCCTGCAAAGCTCAACCTAAGTCTGTTCCTGAGCACACACATGCTTGTCATGGCAGACTTGGGAAGTTTGAATTTGCGGCAGAGCTCACACATACGTGTGTCTGGTAGCGCCCATGTTCTCTGACAGGCTAAAACAACAATCCGGTCTCCATCGTTATTTGTTTGATGGGAAGGCACTGGAAGACTTGAAGGAAAAAAAAACAAATAGTTTTTTTACAAAAATGTCTTCGTGTGTACAATGTCAGTTTTTTCCACAGAGAAGTAAAATTCCTTCCTGAAAAAAGCCAGTGAAGGGACAATCCTTTAGCATGTGTGTTAAAAACATGTTGTAGTCACCTGAACCAGTCACTTGCTCCAAAACATCCACATTACCAAACACTCACTCTAGGAAGCTTGAGCACAACTGAAACACCTCACTGTTGTTTCAGATTACTCAAGTGCTTTCCTTAACAGTGGATTAGCACCAGCTCAGACTCTT